TTTCGGCTGACGATAAGTTTTGTTTTGTATCACGAATAAAAATATTCCACTAGATATTATGTTATGTTGAACTATTTCGCATCAAAAAATACTTAAAAGGATAAATATGAGACAAGTCCAAAGTAATATATTCGGTTGTTTGCGCAAGTCGTGATTTTTCTATATATGGTCGCGTCTGCCAGTTGACACCGTTGGCGCATGCGATGATGCTGATGATTGTGGAGGTGGTGTTTCTGTCTCATGATGCAAGTGATACATGGCAGATGTGAGAAACCGAAATTCCTCGTATCGTTAGTTATCGAGTGCTGCGTGTGTTCACACGCACACACCACGTGACATAATGAGACAGTTATCGGGTCAACCAACACCAGAAAGGAAACGTATTTATTTAAAAAAAATAAAAGTAACTCAGATTACTTTATAATAAATATTTGATCAATACACTAGAAGTACATAAGACAAAAACATAGCCCCTGAAAGACATGCTTGTGGTTAGTTAATATTTGATTAAAAACAAAAAAGTACAATTGATTTTTGTTTATATTTAAGTTAACTTATATTCACACCATACAGAAGAGATTGTTCCCTGAATAGTATGTTTTTCATGGTTATGTTTATTCTTTATATATTCTAATGCCTAAAGGAACATTTTTGGATGGTAATTGAAATTGTAAATAAAAACAAGTGTCGATTTAATTATTAATCTAACCAGATGAAAGTTAACAGCGATTATCAATGCAATATTTAAGCAGTTTTGTAACTGCAAAACAAAAATATATGTATATTTTATATACATTGGTGGTGTGTTGATCAGTTTCTACAAAATCAGTGTGACTTTTTCCTTACAGTTATTCTTCGCTAGTTTAATGCATTGCAGCGAAGGTTAAGTATTCTTTGCTGCTGGGATATGGTGCGTGATCTAGCATGGTATGTTCAGCTGGGCAAGGTTTTATGAAACTATAAATGAACCCAATATTATCATCACACACACACACACACACATATATATATATGATAGGATAGGATGAAGAAAAATAAGAAACGTTTATCTAACATATTTAACTTTTATTAAGGTTTCATCAGAGAAAGAAATACGGAGAAAAAAAAAGAACCTGGTATTTTTATTTTTGATTTACATTGGTTAAGCAGGCTTCACGTTCATTTGACTTGTGAAGCGGTGTTAAATATAGTTTATGGCTTTCTAAACTCAAGGAAAGATGATGTGTTCTTTCGAAGCTCAAAAAAATGAACGGATTCCAATTCTATTTTCTATTATCTATAGAGATAATAGGAATCAACAAACACATATCAGATCTCGATTGGTATCCAAGAGAACAATAGGATAAATAACAAATATGAAACGCTTATCAATCTTATGTTTCACTTTTATTAAAGTTTCATTAGAGAATGAGATATGGAGAAAAAAAAGAAGAAATTCTGATATTTTTATTTTTGTGTTATTTGATTTTCATTGTTTAAGCAGGTTTCACGTGCATTTGACTTGTTAAGCATAATAGAATTTATGGTGTTTTCAATACGAAGAGTGATAACTCGTCCTTTCGAAGATCAAAAAAAAAAATGAACGGATTCCAATTAACAGGTTTTATTAAATAAAGTACTTGCAATGGAAAACACTTACATTGACGAGACATCTCGAAATCGAAAAGCCCGTACCTCCAAGCACAAAAGAGATCTTCCTTGGGACAATCCTTTAAACTCGCCACTCGTAATATACAGGAATAAAATTGGCCATATCTTTGATTTTACAAGTACCACCCTAATTAAAAAAAAACAAACCTAAATTCTTTATGATGAAAATACTTTGAGGGTATTCTGATAAATATTTTACCAACTAAAAACACGTCAAAAACACTATATTACATCAAACTTTTTATTAAATCCATTCTTAAAGAATCTAATGTATGCTTATTTACCGGTGTTTACGTAAAAACGTTCTCAAATCAACATGTTGATACCCCCCCCCCATAAATAATGCATTCTACTACTATTACCACACACACACACACACAAAATCTCGAATTATGATATACTTACATGCATAAAACAGTATTTACGTTTTTCCATTTAGAATTGGAATCCGTTAATTTTTTTGAGCTTCGAAAGAACACATCATCTTTCCTTGAGTTCAGAAAGCCACAAACTATATTTAACACTGCTTCACTGCAAATGAACGTGAAGCCTGCTTAACCAATAAAAATCACAGGACACAAAAATAAAAATACCAGGTTCTTTTTTTTTTCTCCGTATTTCTTTCTCTGATGAAACCTTAATAAAAGCTAAACATGTTAGATAAACGTTTCTATTTTTCTTTATCCTATCATATATATATATAAAAATATAGTTCTATGGTATGTTATATTTATGGGTAAAAGTGCTTAATATCAGAGATAGAGCATGTGTAAATATAAAAGTGGACACTGACGTCAATAGTGAGTGGCGACAGTCTGTTTCATACTTAAATGCAATCTTCTGGTCATCTACTATAAGCATTGTATTTAGTGGGTACACGTTACTATAAACATTGTCTTTAGTGGGTACACGTGGCTGAGTGGATTTCTTGATTTTTTGTTTTGTTTCTTTAAACAGTGGAATTAATGTCTACGTCCTAAATATCGAAGGTCTTACAAAGAAAATGTACTTTTCGACAGGAATTGAACCCCTATTCCCTTTTAAGTGTGACCAACAGCAAGCGATTTCCCCGATTAAAAAGAGAATACGGATTAGACTTCTGACTTGTGAGAATTTACCGCCAAAGAGTTTTGTTCTGTTTTACTGCACAATGAACAATTACAACGTAGATTTTATTTATTTCTGTCGTTCTGAATTTTAACAGCCGTTAAGATTTTTTTTTACTGTTGCTGTATTTTCATAATTTAAATAATAAAAGAAAAATGTATTTCATCTTTTTTTACAGACTTTCTTTCGGAAGAAAAAAAGGGAAGAAAAGGAAGAAAGACGATAAACAAAAAGATAAAACTTAAAAAAGAAAAGAGAAAATAATAATTATAGTAAAAACATAACGTAGTCATTCAAGCCCATCTGTCATATCTAAATTTATAACTACACAGAGGCACAGTTTTTTTTTTTTAAGTCAGACTTGCACAAACGTTGTCATCATAAACTTGCTTCCCTTCAGTTGTATTTACTAAAGGGCACCATTTGATGCCTTTGATTAATTGATAAAAAAATTCTATACTCGACAGTTAGATCTTATATAGGTTTATCTATAACAATAGTTTTAGATTTTTGTTTAACAGTCATGTCTTCCTTTTCTACCGTGCTCTTGATTGTCTGCATGTTTTTCATCTGCGTCAAGACCTTAACTATCGATGATTCCCGTAAGTTATATCTTGTTTTTTGTTACTATTTTTATTTTTTTAACCTGTTACTTGTGTTTTATTCTTATTTGTTCATTAAAAAAAGAAAATCGGTGTAAAAACCAGCGAATATATTGCAGAAACACATTCTAAAATACAAAGTTACGTAACATAGCAATTGGCTGAAGAATGAGTCAGCAAAACTGTTTCCAGAGCACAGTAACCATACAAAGAACAAAACTCAAACGTCTGGACAGTCTTGGATTTGTTAATGACTTTTCTCAATATTAAAGTAATTTATTTACTAGGCTCACCTCAGTCAGACACAAGGACAAATGTGAAGAAAGGATGTTAGGAAAATTGTGTTGCGCCACCAGGAGAAAAAGCTCTGCTTGCTTTAGATATCAACATTCGAAACCCTAGCTTTTACATTTTGTTCGAATGCTGGCAAACAATGGAGACTACACAACAAGGTAAACTACAAATAAGTAACATAGGTATTTACTTATGTCAGGCCACTCTACGGAGGCTTCCCCTGACGGAATCCGCGGCCACGTGTCCATGACCACGGTGACCCTTCAAGTTGGAGGACATCAGCTGTAGCTTGACTGAGAGGTGTGGGCGCCGCCAGGTCTACATGCTACGCATGAATAAATATCTCTCCGTCTTATCTTGATAGAAATGGTCATGTACTCAGCTGTGTAGTGACTCTAAGACCATACTTGCTCATGGAGTGAGGATGATGATAATAATAATAATTATTAATTTACTAACATTAACATAGTTTAGAACAAAATTACGAATTTAGGGGCCCCAACGAGGATCGAACTCATAGCAGTCGCTATAAAGTATTATATTTAATTATATTATAGATTCTCAAGTCATTATCATACAAAAATATACGTACGTATTTGCTTCGTGTAATATTGTCGGCCAAAGGTCAAAGAAAACGGTTACACTACCCCTCTAGGCTGGTCAGCCATTCGAAATCCTAGCATTTACTTGATCTCGATTATTGAAAGCTAGCGCCAGTGAGAAATACTCTATACTACGAAATTCTGTTGTCATATAAATGTTTCATGTTAATTTAATCGAGAGAAAGTCTCATCAAGTTCGGTTCTTTGTTCTACAATTCTCAGCGCCAAACTTGTTAATGGTTTTACAAGCACAATAAATGATACAAAGGAAACGGGTTGGTTTATCAGAAATTAAACAATTTTCTTTATTTTTAACATTAACGGAAAGCATTATTTAATCTTAAAATGTCAAGACTTTCCTGAATTTACAAAAGGGTTGATAGTTTTGTCAAAAAATGAATAGATCATATTAAAAGAGAAAAGCAGAGAGCAATTTCTGGTAATTATTCATAAAAGCAATTGTTAGTGAATTTGATTTGTTAGGGATTCTTAAATTACTCCATTTGGTCGTTTTTTTGTTTAGCTGCATATTTAGCTCTGTAGATTATTTGATGCCAAAATCTAAATATTTTTACGCATAAAGTATTACTAATTAACCCATATCTGGGGGAGATGAGGTGGGTTTATCTCTTTCTCAAAGGTATTTGCGCTTAAGTGAATGTAACGAACCCAATTGAAATACCAACTCGACTTGATTAACAATTCCGTGTCATTATCCATTACATCACCCCACATTCAAGCTTAGAGCACTTGATATTCCTAAGCGTTCACCCATCGAGGTGCTGACCAAGCTCGAAGTTGCTTAACTTTGGCGATCGTACGAGAACTGGTGTTTCAACGTGATGTGGTCGCAAGCATTTAAATTACTCAAGTCGAAGTAAGTGTTGTAAATATTTTCAAGATACTTGTGTTTGGGTGGCTAACAACTGGGTTCTGTTAGCTATTGCTCGTGAATTGAGTCCCTCTATATCCTCAAACCGCACAAGATGAAATAAGTCAACTAAATACCTACGGTTGTGGGGTTAGCATAAATTGATAGATGACGAGGTTTTGTATGCCATCGTTAGTGAAGTCAGTTCTCGAGGTGGGGTGATGGATAGCAGCTCCGAATGAGTAATAGGAGATTCTAGTGAAAATTTCCGTTGGATTCGTTACATACACTTACGCAGAAAGGGTATGGGTCCAACTCCTCCCCGGTTATGGGTTAAATAGTATAACTTGCATCTAGAAAAATAATTATATATATATATATATTTCTAATGCAATATTCACTCACAAAAAATATTTTTGCAATACAAAATATGTTTTGGTTTTAAATAGCCCACAAAAGGGTGACGTCGTAAAAATACAAATCAATCGATCAAACTGCACAAGACGAAATAGGACAACTAAATATCTACTGGGTGCAAAGAAAGTAATAACTATTAGGGTAGGCTGAGTTCGGTTTTGTCTGCCGCCTCAAATTGCACGAAACTAGTGAAGCCTACGAAATTCACAACTATCTAACCTATAGCGCAAGCCAAGATTTACTATATACATGGTATACGTCAGTTTCGAGATACCATGGATCTCCGCCCAAAGCTGCTGTTGACGGCGGTAGAGCATCTGTTATGACTGTACAAGTCCACACGTGAGTGACAGTCATGATCTCAACGAATGCATATGAAGACGTTCTTCCCCGATGTCGCAGTGTTGTTTTCTTTCTTTCAGTTTTTCCCCGGCTGCAAACCTTCGTTTCTTCTCTCCTCACTCCAGCCCACGGTGTAAATCGCGTCTCCAGCGTGAGCTATCATTGATGATGTCTTCCGACCTCTCGATGACCATGTCCATCGCTCTCATGTCCCATTTGCAGACGTCATTGAAGCAATCGCCCTTATTCTTTCTTGCCAGTGACCATTTCCCCGTACTTCGGAATCCTCCCATCAGTAAGCTGTTGCTTCCAGTTTTGAAATAGCGGTGAGGCGACGGTGGAGTGTCCTCTCCAGGGCGCAGGCAGGATTTGATGTGAGATCGGCTATTGCCCATGCAGAATATCTCCCCTTTCCACACCACCAAAGGCAAAGGTAGAGTCCAACACAGCGCAGGCCCAGATTTACTAAGCGTAGAATAATTTTGCAAAGAAAGTAAAAGATGGAAAACTAGCGATTGCATTGTACATCTATTTCAAGTAGAGAAGCCCGTTTCGAAAATCAGCATCTCTTGACAGATTTCCAGATTTGACCACAGAGGCGCACCAACATGTGAAATTAAAATGTTGTTACATAGTTACATTTTTCTTTATCTGATTTTTTTTTCTAGGAAGCTGAAAGTGTTTAACACTTGATGCACCTTTTCTAAGAAATCAACAAAGCGCCGTTCATTTCAGACACGTTATCGGGATATGAATTCAGTTCACGTCGGAGGTTATTTTCTGATTCATACTGTTTAAATTACGGTAAAACGACTCGAGTATAGTAACAAAAGGCAGGAAAGATTAGATGAAAGAAGAACTAGTTAGAAATAAACAATGCTGATACTTTCATCTAAAAAATTCGGACAAATCTTTAACCTTGTTAGTTTTGTATTCAAAATAAAAAATGACTATATTCTGTTTTTTAATTTTAATTTTTTTTTGACAGATCGCGAATTAACAGATTATCAAGTTGAAATCGACTACGACAATAATAATTATTTTCCCAGTCGCTTACCTGTTCTTCTGAAATGTCAAAATCGCACTATAAAATTCAGTTTTACGAAACGAGACGTCGACTACAATATTCCCATATATACTCGAACAAAATCGATGAAGCCAGCCCTCTTAGAAATGCCTCCAGTTAAGGTAATTCTTCATTTTATTAATTTAAAAAATATATGGGAGTTGCTGAAAAGTTGGAGCCGCGAACAACTTCCGATAAGAAAAATTTAAATCAACAACCATTAGAATTTTTTTTTAGAGTTAAAGAATATTGAAAAAGGATGTACCAACTGTGTTGAACACCGTGGTAAATACGAGGAATAACATTTAGGTTTCATTTTTCTTGGTCAAGATATTTCTAAATTAGTTAAATTGATATGTGAATAAATCCAGCAAAATTCATAAAAATCCAACAATTATTTGACGTTTGCAAGAATTCCAAAATCGATGTTTTTTCTATTGCAAAAAGTCGCTAAAATTTCAGCTTATCTTATGGTCACTTGCTGAAAAAAACCCCCAAAAAACAAAAAAATTTTTTATCAAAGACTTTCAGTGTTCTAAAAAGGATTAAAAAATGTTATCTAATAATCAAAATATTGTTTGGTCTTTCCTCTTAATAATGACAAAGATCTTGACAATAAAACTTTGATACATTTTTTCATCATGGTATGCTCATATCTGAGCAAATCTTTGGATTATATATATATATATATATATATATATATATGAATGTTACCCCTGAAGTAATAGCACAGACTTTATGCATAGTTTTTGCTTTGATTTGAGTGATAGTCTTGGAAAAACACGTCTGGTATGAAAATGTGTACGAAGTAAACTTGTCATTAAATTCCTCCATTGAAAATCATCCGAAATTTACTAAATATTTACGAAGAAGAAACAGTGGATGTGAGTACAGTTAGACAGTGGGTAACGCACTTCAGCCTTAGTGACTGTGATGTAACATGCCAGTTTTCAAGCGCAACATGCAGCGTTTTGTTTATCGCCAACAAAAATGAAGAGTCAATGATAGTGAAAATGAGGAAAAAGTGTATAGTTTTTTGTAACTGAAAATTTGCCTGTTATAGTTTCCATGAAAATAAATCAGATGCATTATTTCCGGAGTGTCACACATACTAACACACACACACACACACACACATATATATATATGTATGTATGTGTGTGTGAAACGGTAACTTTTTATTGATATGAATGAATAAAAGGCTTAATATGTAAAACCTGTAAACATGTAAATAAATAATTTTTTTTTTAAATATCTATAGATATTCAATTATATACATAAGGTTGAGTATATATGCGTCTAGCATGAAACAGCCTGTCGCTTCTGAGTGTTCACTTCAATGTTCACTTTATATATATATATATATATATATATATATATATGGAAGAGTGGTTACTGCCGGAGATAGAAATTTTGTACATATAGAAAGTGTGGCCATAGAACCATAAATCGGAGAAATGATTAGTGACTGTCAGTTCCACGCATCAAAACCGAAAGTTTGGTAACTTAATTAGTCAAAGCATCGTTAGTGAATGGCGATCTTTCAAGATTTAGAATGCAAGTTCGAATCAAGTTCAAAAGGATATTTTCTGTTCCAAGTTTCTTTCGAGAGTTTAATTTAGCAACAGAAAAATGTTGAGATAAAAAGATTAAGAACTTAATTAAAAGTAATAATGAAGTATGTAATAAAACAATATTATTCGCGCACGTGTCCATCTTATGGGTTCACTCTATTTCAATATATTCATGTGTAAACTTTAATGTAACATATTTCTTGGAATCCCTTGCAGAATGCAGCCTTCTACGAAGACAAAGTCAACGGTGCTTCAGTCACGTTACATTGTGAGGAAAATGATCCCCTATCTAGTTTACAACATTCCTGTAATGAACGATTAATGGTAAGTAATATACTTGCAATTTAAATAGTGCTTGGAATTCAATGACTTTTGCTTAGGACTGCCAATCTTACGCAGCAGTTGTTCCGTTGGCGTGGTGTTCTTTGTCGTTGCATTTTAATGTCTGATCAAATAAATACTGTTCTTCAAGGAAACAAGGGACACATACACACACGCATATTTATATAACTAAGTATTCTTTCAATACAACGCACATGAACCATTAAACGTAGAAGGTTACTGAATGAAGATGTTACAAGTAGGAGGCGGCAGGGGGTGCAGATTATGACGATATGTAGGACAGATATCGACTAACCAGAGTCTTAAAGCGGTTAAGATTATAGCGGTTTCGGAAGCATCCTCTTGGAAGGTTTGTTCGGGGAAGCAGCAATTGTTGTGATGAAACTGCCTGAATGAGTCTTACGAAACACGAAGGGAATGTAGAAGATTTGTTCCAATGTACTTGGCATAGGAGGTCTTAACTGAGAATGTCATGGTTCATGGAACTAAAGAATGTACATCGTCAGAACATTTGCAATAGAAATAGCGATAGAATGTGGGGTAGAAGTTGTAGAAGACGTTTCAAGTCTGGAATATTTTTTCTATGCATTTTTACATTTTTAACGGAATGTTTCGGTTGGTATACAGTGTAACTCGGATATAAGAGAGTTGTCGGGACCGGAGAAGAAGTCTCTTATATCTAGGTTTCTCTTATATCCGGGTTTGGTCTAATTTATATACATTAACACAGGCTCTAATTTGGGACCAGAGAAAATCTCTTATATCCGGGTTTCTCTTATATCCGGGTCTCTTATATCCGGGTTACACTGTAGTATTCGGCTTTCCTCTGTTGGAATTTCTTTTAGAAAATAAAAGTGAAGCAGGATGGCAGATGTAAAGATTATGTTATTTTCCAACAGTGGCTTGACCGTCAGCTTTGATAATTAACATTTGATACGCTGTCTTATTTGGGAAGAAACAATGAGCATAGGCATTAACGGTATAGACGCAACTATTGTCGCCACTGAGAATGCTTTGTTATTTTCACTATTCAAGTTCAACGTTAGTTCACTTAATACGTTTGGTTTGGTTTCTGCTTAGATTTTCAGCCACTATAAGATTATTTAAGGCCAGATAAAGGTTTTGAATCGTGTGGTTGTTTTGAGTTTAGCTTCATGTTATATGTGAATCAGAGATGGTTTTGAATCGTGGTTGTTTTGAGTTTAGCTTCATGTTATATGTGAATCAGTGATAGTTTTGGGTACTGGGTAATTGGTGAAAGTTTTTTTTTTTTTAATCAGTTATTAAAGATGTTGGTTTCTAATACAAGTTATTTTGTTATTCCGCTTCTTATATAAGTTGGTTATTAAAGTTTGCACTGTTATTATTAGTGGGGATCTTTATGAAATCTGAAGGGTTTTTTTCTTTGTTTTCGGTTATCAAAATATATTACAAGTTTTATGTAGTTTTGTTGGGATTTTTTATAATTTTACCATTTGGTAACTTGGTTTTATATAACATCAAAAGAAAATGGCAAGCAATATGGAACTCAAAACCTAAGGAACTATACGATATTCAACTAACTACAAGAGAATGGCTCCCAGGTATCAGAAAAATAAGACGGGAGGAAATTGTTTTATCAAGACACATCTACAAAAAAATAAAAACCATGCAACCGATGTCAAGTACATTTCACAATTCAATTGCTTAAACACGCTGATATAACTTTACTCATTGCATCATCAAAGGTCGTATTATGCTATTCTTTCAAGGTTTTTCTTTCTACTTGTTTGCAATAAGAAAAAAAATTACCCATTAACTGAACATCAAGTTGAGTTTGTGACTGATTAAGTTCCAGATATGATCTGCCGTTAAATTTAGCAAAAAATATATGACCCAATCATTTGGAGAAAGAGTTAGCAAACTCCACTCTGTAGACCAGTTTGGCTGTGTCTCATGTTCAGTTCTCATTTTGTGTACTGTTTGAACTCATTGCTCAAAACCAGTCTCATAAAAGGTTTCCTTTTTATCAAAAATTTATTAGCCATAGAGAAAGAGTTAGAGAAGTGTAAGCGTTCGCTCGTGTTGGGGATTATTGGTGCTGATAACCAGTTTCATAGATAATGTACCTCTAATTCTTACTGGGAGTGCATAAAACAGTCATATGAACCAGATCTAAATTGGGGTGGAACAAAAGTTTGTAGCATTTATAAACGAGCTTGATTTAGATTTTTTGCGGATAATTTTTTCAACCACTTATGTCATTTTGTTTCACTACCTTTCGTCATCTTTGAGGCAGCTTCATGGTTCTATCTTCCCAGAACACGGTATCATTCTAAGTGATATACAGGGCACGATGGGTAAATTGTCACTATTTTATATTTTTAATTTCGTTCATGCGCCTTGTTTGTTTTTGATTTTGCCGGCTGCGTAGTATAGAAGGGTCAGTTGGGCACCGTCTGTGAAAAAAGGAGCACCATGACGCAATTCACTCTGCCAGAAATTTGGAAACGGCATGCTGGCTGCACTATTTGGCATTTGCGTTGGAAACTCCAATACGAACATTTCAGCGTGTTTGAGTGCCAATCTAATAACAGTGAAGAGGATTCGGAAAGAGTTGGATGATATATCCAGTCAATATCATGGTGTTTGGTGCGATCACCAGTGATGGAAAAGTTATGCCTCCATTTATCTTCCCACAGGGCATCAGACTCAACACAAGGGTCTACATCAAGGGTCTCGAGGATGTAGTGCATGGCAACAGGACTCTGCACCATGCCACACAAACAAGAGAACCCAGTCATGGCCGTCAGACAATTTCTTCGACCACATCACTCCCTACATCTGGTCACCTAACTCCACAACTGCAAACTAACTCCACAACTGCAAACCCTTGATTATTATGTGTGGGGTGCAGTTGAGCAAGGGAATCCAAAGATGAACTGAAGGCAAAGATTATGGCAGCATTCATTAACTTAAACAAGGAATTCGCTCAAAGTAGTTGCGGGAGATTCCGAAGTAGTCTGCGTTTTAATGGCGATTTTATTGAATAAATTTACTCTTTACTATTTCAAGATATTTTTGTGTAATTTCGGCAAATATATCTGTTATATGTCCAAGAGGATTTTACAGGTTTCCAGAGAATTTAAAATTCTCCCCATTAAGTGAATTTTGTTGGAATTGAAATAAGTGGTAATTCGAATGTGCAATGCAAAGTGAGTAGGGCGTCTGTCATAGGACATCACAGCCAAACTGTACCATTTTCTGTTGGGTTTCAAAGAAACAAAAAGTCTGAAGTTGCTCTGGAAGGCGATTGGTCAATTCCAGAGGCTTTTCATTGATATCAGCCTGTAATTTTGAACAGTACTTGTTTGGAGGTAACATTTGATTTGCGCAATGAGCTTGTAACAAATAATATCCAATCCTACACGGCATTACTTTCTTCGTTTGAAGACTGCCTTTCGTTTTTCCCTGAACATCCTTCTCTCAAACATCGTTATAAAAAAAACCTTTTTTCAACGACTGTGATTGTCCTTTTCAAAATGATGTCTTTTTCTGTTGCGTTTGAACAGAGAATCGTAGATAGAAATATGTTCCATTTAATTTGTTTCCGATTAATCATAAAGGCACCCTAACATTCTAACGATTCACGTGCTTAAATGTTTTCAAATGCGTTGCAACGCTCGTATGAAAGATGTGGAATATTTCTGCGATGTGTCGTGTAACTTTGAATATCAGCGTTTCGATTTGGTTATCATCAACGATTGGGGGGCTGTGGGGGCGTTTTCGTTTTTCCAGATTAGAATTTCCACTTCCGAACCTAGCGAACCACTTACGAACACCGCACTCAGCTATGGTACTATCTCCATAAACGGCACATATATTTTTTGTTGTTTGTACAGTGACGTTTCTTTCCGGAAATAAAAGTGCACCAAATGCATTTTATTTACCCCAATTTCTCTTTTAACTCTAAAAATATTCAAAATTCTCAATGCACACGCAAACCATATAGACAGACCAGTTGAAATGCCACCTTTAGTAATATATGTCAAATTTCAGTCACGTGTGAAACGAGATCCCGTGTTCGAACGCCGCGAACATTTGTCCTAGCTTCATATAGCATTCCTCTTACCACAATGCCTGTATCATTTTCTATAATTTGGTTTGGAAGTGTTTCTGCAGGCCTCGCATATCTCACTGACCTTAGCGATCAAGTGAATGGTGAACCCAGCAAGGTAAAACAACTAACTCTTAGGAGAGGCGATAAACCAACCATGTAATCTAATAGTATCACTCGAATGTTATTTGTAAAGGAAATTATCACTTTGAAGTCATTCTCCTTGACCAAGAGATACTGGGAAAAAAAGTTCAGCGCAGAAACCAATCATGTGGTCGCCCAGTATATTCATTTTCCTTTTTAGCTGGAGAAAAAAATCCTGTGTATTTATTTTGTCTAATATAATACTTTCGATTTCTTTTGAACTTCAGTCTGGCTTCTTCCATCTTGATGGACACAGACACGTGATCGAGCCTAAGAGAAAAATTGTCAAGCGTTTCGAATTATACACCAATCTAAATACACGCAAAGAATTCATGAAAAGACACCAGGTATTCAAAATATTTGAGAAGAATTATAAATGCGGCATCGGATACAGTAAGTTGAGACAAAATTATATTATTTTACGAGGACTTATTAAAAAAAATCCCAAAATACCATTAACACTGTGCTGCTTTTGTTTAAATATTTGTTAAATTACGGAAGTTATAAAGGTTGCGTATGTGCGGTGCGTGTTCACATATAATAAACAAAGAAAAAGCATACAAAAACTTCTCTTTTTTATAGTGACTGTAGTGGAACAAAGTTGTCAATGTCTCTTGGGTATATCAGTTTTCTTTGGCATTGAAGTAAATTAGGTCAATGGTTAAAACGGTCGAGCTCAAGTTAGTTTAGCTCTGAGCTGGAACGACCAAGTCACTTCATGAATAGAGTTGCCAAAACACGCCCGAACAATGCCGTTGAAGAGTTCAGTCGTCAGAAGAGCGGGGAAGTTAACGTTCCACAGATTGGACGTAATTACCACGTGGTTCTACATCTTAGAGAAAAAGGAGAAAGAGAGTGAGCGAGGAAATGTTTGTCTTTTTATAGTTATCAACTAACGGCATTTTATGAAACTGAGTGAGGTAATCATATTTCCGGTTCCTTTACTCTTAGCATCATGGGAAAATGTATTTCTTCATTATTATTCTTTTTTATTTATCGATTTTATTTCATTTTCCCACAAAATCATCAGCACCCTCAATTATAATCTTTTCCTTGTTAACAATGTTGTCGTCAGAATATTTTCAATTAGTTCTTGACTTACCAAGTTTCCGATCTTGCGTCCCTTTGTAAACATTCCTAGCGCTCCAGTAATTATAAAGCAGATTGTGACGTTCATCTTTCGCAGGTTGTTTTCTTCTCTGCCAGGGCTCTGATATTTGTTTAGTTTTTCACTGTCAATTTTTTTGTTTTGTTTTCGATGACAAGAAGCTTAGCTGACAATCATAATTTTGAAACAAATTCGTTGTAATGCCTGCTCACATGCAGATATGTTTGGAGGATGTTTGTTCATTAGGATCGTCACACGCAACTGTTGCCTGGGATCCAACCCCCAAAGACAGCTGCGTGTTATTGAGAGGGTACTCTTGCTACCAATATATTTGGAGCTAGGTTGCAGATGCAAAGCGATGGCACATTGCATAAGTACGGGTGTACTGATATTTTCAATACGGAACGTGGCGACTTGCGGGTCCCAGTCGCCTAATCGCTTACGGCCGTATCAAATTGAAACACCGACTCTCGTACGATCACCGAAGGTAAGCAACATCGAGCTTGGTCAGTACCAAGTTGGGTGACTACTTGGAAATACCAGGTGCTGTAAGCTTAGATGTGCGGGCGGTGTAATGGATAACAGTTCGGAATTGGAAATCGTAGAGCAGAGTTTTAATTCCAGTCAGGTTCGTTATAGTCACTTACGCGCAAATATTCCGAGAAAGGCATGAATCCACCTCTTCTACCCCAGCTATGGGCTAATTAGTAGGACTTGTATCTAACTCATTATTCCCTCAAAAAAACCTCTAGAATCTAAAAATATTTTCTGGTTTTAAAATAACCTGAAAAATTATGAAAAGCAGTAAAAACTAACCAATCAATCAATTGATAACAGCCTGACTGGTATGATGGTGTGATATAAAAACTATACTATATTTCTTTTTGCTTTTCTTGTTAAAATTATTATTATTTCATAAATTTGCATCTTCGTTCCAGATAGCTAGCTTAAGACTAAGTAACTGTAAGTCTTCTCGAGTCTTTAACAGCTCTTCTCTATACAATCTTAACGCATCCTTGGAGTTCACATTCATAAAATCTTTAGTTCTGTCCAATATTTCAACCATTGCTAGGCTCTATCTCTGTCCTGTGAGTATCAGATTTTCCAAGTTCTCTTTCCTTATCACGTGCCCTAGAAATTTTAACTGCTTTCTGATATTAAGTATATATCCTTTTTGTTTCAATTTTCTCTGAAACTTCGTAGCTGCTCACATGTTCGCTCTAAGATATCCTCAGAATCCTTCTGTAGAACCACATTTCTGTTGCTTCAAATCTTTTCATCTGTACGGAGATGATTCAACATTCATTGCTATATAAGAGACTGGATATCATCTAACCTTTCAGTAGTCCTCTTTATTTCTAACTAATTTTTTCTGTTTTTTTTTTAATACTTTGCTTAATTTTGGGACGAATCTTTTGCTATCCCAATGCGACTTCGGATTTCAGTGTCACACTTTCCGTCCTCTGTTAAAATACTTTTCAGGTATTTAATTTTTTTTGTACTTGTTTGATTTTGGTTTGTAATTTACATTTTGGGCTCATCCTTTTGCAAACAATCATGAATTAAGTCTTATTATAGTTGAGTTTAGTCCATTCTTCTTGCTTTCATTCACTAACTTCTATAGACGTTTTCCTTCCGCGTTTGCTATCAACACTGTCATTTGCATATCTTTTGTGGTTAAGATTGTAGTCGCCAATAAGGATGCAGTACATTAAAACTGTAAGTAAAATTCGGTGGTTCGTGACGACCGTGATAGAAAGAGATAACGACTGTATCTGCAGAAAAAAATGTGTAGGTTTGAAGATAGAGAGAGGAAGAGAAAACTGAATATTTGTGTCAGAGATACTGTATAGGGCGATTTGTGTGTACATAGAGATAGACATAAAAAGATGCATGTAAGAGAAATTTTTTCAATGGTTTTAAAATGAAAGAGAGAGAGAAAGATAAAGAGAGAGAGAGAGAAAGTGAAAAAGAGAAAAGTTTCAATTTTTATGAATTTAAAATGTTTATAATAATATGATAGAATTAATACAATAATATTCTGTTAGTAGGGACACGAGTTTATTAATAGAAATTATTATATATGTTGCTTCACAAAACCAAGGAAGGCATTTAATTAGACCAAAGTATTCTTATTTTGTTCCAATTAACAGGAATCTATTGCATTCCTATAATTTTAGAGAATTTAATTCGTGTAAATGCAACCAAAATGCATAATTGAAAACCTTTGTTTGATTCACAGCTTACCGTGAAAACCTTGGTACATTTTACTTAATCTTTAATCTTGGTACATTTTACTTAATCTTTAAAACTTTAAATTGCGTTCCATTTTCCTTATCAGGACCTTATTTGGACCAAACCTACACTAGTAATGCAACGAGTGAAAATGAGAGAGTTAAAAGGGCCAAAGTAAAGCTGGCAATCGAAGTTATGGCCATATCTACTCACCAGTAAGTTAGCATTGTTCCTGTCTTTGTCCTTATTTCAGTGTTCAGAGATATAAAGGTTACTGCTGACAAGATTTGGACACGTTCCCTGTATCCCAAGGATGGAGGATGCGACTTGACAGTTGCGATAATATGATGAGAAATAAACTAGTCAATATTAATAATGAAACTTTGATTAAGATCTTTCAGCTATTAACATTCAATATAATTCTGCGAATAGGTTTATTTCGAGAGGGAAATATTATGCCTTTAATCTTCCCCAAAAATGCTGTTCAAAACAGAAGGAACTGCAAAAAAAATGTACGTACGACTCAAAAAGAAATGATGAAATATAAAATATCTGGTAGAGAATAAAGGAAGAAAAATCTTAAAGGGAATACTTAGAAAGCGAAGAGGCAGATGTGTTTTGAAATGAAAGAGCCATCTTTAAAAGAGTCATAAGTTCGGAAAAACTAATATTATTACTTCCTTGAGTAATTTATTTTGTTATATATTGTTTTGCTACCTTGTTACCAAACATTAAATTTCCTTTTCTTTAATTTTAATGCTGGTCGGGCTGATAACTTTTCACCACATCACCGCATATTGTTACTTTGTATCTCTTTTGCATGCCTACCTCACAAAGCATTGCAAACTAGTGCTAGTGCCAAACCCGAAACTGTGTACATTTTTTTCTGACTGCTAGAGCTATTCTTGATCGTGCTAAGGTAACTGCTAACGATAGAATGTCATCATCAATCTGAATGTGAACAGGAGGCCAGCTTCCAAGATCTCATCAGGGATTTTTGCCTCATGGACGGGTTCAGAGCAGATTAGCTATACCGCGAGATTTGGACATGACTTCAACTTTATAACATAAACATCATTCCGCTAGTTGTAATAATTTGAGAACAAAATGGTGCTAGTTCACATTTAATTGAGGAAGAATGGGAAGTTGAATATTTTTTCTTGATATGTCCGACTTCTGTCAGTAACTGACAAACCTGATCCAACGGGAGCTGATAGGGAGAGATATTGGTAAGAAGTGATGATAGAATCTCGAACGGAAAATTACATCCTTTTTGGTTTCGCTCTGGAAAGGCAAGAAACTGAAGTGGCACCAGAGAATAAAGCTGCCCAGGCAATGACGGAAGGAGACCGTCTAGCAACAGAACTAGAAAGAGGGCTTGTTTTTGCAACAACATGAAGGAGTATTACTAACGTTTTTGCTAAGGAGACAGATTTCCAAGACTGAATTACATAGATTGGAAGCGTACAAGTCAGTTAAATCGGAAGGATCAATAAGAGAGGAAAAGATTTTATTAAATCCACACCATATCTCCGTGCTTTGACAATCTCCTCTATTAAGTTTATCGACAAATGCCGCTCATCTTTTAGCAATATTATTCAACCATTGATTCGACGAAAATAACAACCCGTAACATAACTGGGAGCAGGATCAATTTTGCTGATGAAAAACCATGACGAGAATTGAGGGCGGAAAACACTATAACTCTGAAGACACCTGAAAATCTGGGCCAAGATTCTAGTAAGCCATTTGTAGATTGTTGATGGATCCTGTGCAGCGCTGCATGTGATTCGTACCTTCATGGATGAAGTACCGGTACAGACATTTATTCCCGAAATGCAAAGCAGTGGCACGTGTCACGTACATCGACATTAGTATTTTGCAGATTTTCTATCTACCCCATTGCAGCTCAAAATATAAAGTTCGCAAATTCTATATTGTTCTGGGAGATAGAGAGGACAAGCAATGGCGGAGGGAGTAAAATCACATCCAATGCCCAAGTAAAGGGCTTGCCATACCTGATGAGCTACAAGTCAGTTTCGAGGCCATGCGCTGAAACCGTTGATTCCGAGCTCCCTCTATTGTGTTGCAGACTCCCGACGTAGACCCCCCGAAAAAGTACGTTTTTCAAAATATGCCGTGTAGCACTGTTCAATGTAATTCGGAGTAGTAATCCAATGAGAATCAGTAAAACACTTTACCGGAATATTATAAAGGAGTCTACCTGTGATCCACTATTCCAGCATCTCGACTTTCCAAAGGAGGACCTCAGAGGTGGAAAGAGACTTTGTCGTCCGGAACTCACTATCATATCCGAAAATGCAACTAGGCGTGTGATCGACCCACTTACGCCATTGTTTTTACTCTTCCTAACTACCTTGCAGGTTAGTATTCATCGTAAACATAGTAAGTAGTGCACAAAGAATAAGAGTGACAGTCGACGGACCAATGGGATCCTTGGAAGGAATATTGTTTCTACTTGTGGATCGCAAATCATTTTTACGGTTTATCACTCCTTTGTTGATTAATTAAAACCGAAACGTGAATTGTAACCCTTTTTCTTAGAGTGAATATTGTATTAATATTTTTTTGAGAAAAACTGATTTTTCCCCAGATACACGTACTCATTTAACTCATAGCTGAGGGAGGATAAGATGAACCCATTCACCAAAGACTGAGTTTCTGAAGGATCTCCCAGTTCACTCAGTAACATTGTCAGCCCCTTTTTTATTTGATGCTTCATTGGCCTTGTAAGATGGTTATAGAAAGGTCTTATAACATGTCTAGACTAAATCATCTTCATCTTCCTGATAGTAGTTATTAGGTCTTTCAATGTGTCCGTTTCTTCTCTGATGGCGTCTCGCACTGTGTCCTTTGTGATGCCGTCTATGTTAGACGCTTACGATTCCGTAGCGTCTCATTTTTAATGTTTGTATTCTTCGCACTAACTCTGCTGTTAATATTCAACATTCGCAGGTGCACAGACAAAGAAAGTGAGAAGGCCAGTGCACGCAACAATTTGATCTTTGATTTCAGAAAACCAAAACATCTTGTTCTGGTTTTTATCTGGTTTCAAACACGAAATATCCCAAACAATCAGGCCTCGGATAGAGATGTTTTCTAAAATTCGCAGAAAAGTGTGATGGACTGACAATTACTTTCAAAATTCTGGCTTTATTCAGCTACATTTTCCACGAAGCAGCGATGTGCATCATCCGTTCTCTTATGAAATTAATTTAAACACTTAAAAAGGTTCTTTTTTCTTTCATTTATTTTTGTTGTGTGTGTTACAGATTGCCAATTGATGCAGTGGAGCTTAAAAACACGAAAATCTATTACATACACGTATTTTACGGGGTAAGTAATTTTTATTATATTATTTTATTATTATATTAATTTTTATTATTATTATTTTTATTATTATTATATATTTTTATTATTTTTTATTATATTATTTTATTATTATATTAATTTTTATTATTTTATTATTATTATTTTTATTATTATTATTATATATTTTATTATTTTATTATTACATTAATTTTTATTATTTTATTATTATTTTTATTATTATTTTATTATTACATTAATTTTTTTTTCTGTTTATATAACCCAATACATAAAAATGAATATATATATTTTTTTTTATAGTAATTCTCATGGTTATGTATTTGGATACACAACAACTTTTGGAGGGAGAAGAAAATAATGAAAAACAATGGCCACATTTGTATTTTTATCAATGCCGACATTTGAACGAATGAGAGATTTTCTTATTGTTGCCCATTTAACTTCATCGTTACTCCACCACTTCGCTTAACTCATTTTCTGCACTAAACCTTTCTGGCTGCACGGTTAAAAAAATGTAAAGTACATTTTAGAATATTTTTTTTTTACCTAAAGCCTCCTTGGGGAAGATTCGGTGTTCAGTATACAACAAAACCGCATAATCGTTATTCGCAGTTATAAATATTGTAACAATACGATTTCTCACACATCCTTAGGAGATGAATAGATTGATTCTTTTTCCTTGTAAGTCTACTTAATGCGTAGTATTTTTCAGGAATCCTGTCTCCATCCCACCTTTGAATTGACAAATATAAAATGTTGTTAGTGATTTTAGATAGCCATAAAAGTAGGGTCCTTTGAAAAAACTGACCACCCAAAAGCGGTCTGGGCGGCTCCGCTTCCCGGTTGGTGGAACACGAGTGAATGGAAAGAGGTGGTGGGTCCTCCAGTCAGTATCCATATAAGGAGTAGTCACGGAAACGGCCTACAGTGAGTAAAACGGCCAAACAGTAAGTGTATAGCGGGGTACGTTTTCTGTGGCCTGAACGAAGTGAGAAATCGTATTTCCCGACCAAACAAGTGTCTAGAAAAGCATTTTGTCGTTATTTCTTTGTTAGTGCCGATCACGGCCGTAACTGAATCCTTATCTGTGGAACATAGCGAGATCCGGTGCATTCGCATACAGCCGAGCTTGGATGTCATCACAGCTTGTGCAGTGCAGTGCTGTGCGGAATCGCATAATCACATTATCCACAGTTTGTCTATTCAGTAAAAACTTTAAAGCTATTTTGCAAAATGTATTTCAAAGGAGTGAAATATCAATAAAAAAACAAAAACACTAATATTCATCATTAGTAATACTATTTTGTAAATCAAAAAAAAAAAAAAAAACAATTTTTCAAAGATATTAAAGCCTGGGAAAACAGTCCTTGAAGGGAGCAAACTCAAATTAAGCAAAACAGCCATTAACAATTGAATTTCTTTGCTGAATTCTTTTTTTTACAATTTGCTTGTTTCATGAATCAAATACATTTCTTACTTAATGTGAGTTGCACCTGTAAACAGTTCGTCGTCGCTGGCCGTCTTCCAACATAAGACGTAACTAATTAGATAGTCACGTGAACGAATCTTACAGCTACACTTATAGTCAATGCCTGATTAAGACCATGTCGTCTAGTGTTAGTCGCTGTGTGCTGTGAAGTTGTTCTGCTTGGCGACCGACGCGCCAATAGCGACGGGTAACGCCGAATATAAGAAACCCGTAGCGAACGACATGCGAGGCGGAGCAGGAAGAGAATAAAGGAGAGGCGAGACTGGCACGAGCAGCTGCGGAAAGCGAGTTGACTCGGGGGATCGTAACGCGCGACGACGACGACGACCCGAGGTTCAATGAACCGATCGTTCGCGTGGCCGACGGTGAACCGATGACAGTCGTCACCCCGACCACAAAATCGTTGGAGCAGCAAATCTCAAACTTTCCACGAACGCACACGACCGCAACGCCACAGTCACTACGGGCCGCTACGACACTTTCAACCCGCGTCGAAAAAGCGCGGACATTACTGTCATGGTATCTTTTTCATTGGATCTCACTGTAAAATACTATTTGTCGAATTGATTACCAAGACCAGTGTATAATTGAAAGAAATTTACTTCTTGACAAAAAAAAACAAATTATTATTTACATTATTTATACTCTAGAGATTTTAGGTTGATGGTTCTGTATTATCCAACAAAAGAGAGACCAATTTATCTCGGGTAACGGGGTCATATTCTATATATCGGACATTAATAATTCGAAAGAATGTTCTTGTAAATAACTAGAAATTAAAGCAAGCTTTACCATCAGAATAGAGCTATTACATGCATACTGTAGATGATAGTGTTTCTTTTACTATAGAAATGCATTGCACATCACGTTACTGAAAAAAAAATTCTAAATGATTTTACTACAGAAATGTACTAAAAAAATCACGAAAAAATGGTCGTCTGATCAAATAGGTTTATTATGTGTGTAATGTTTGTTATTAATTTAAATGTTTGTGAATATTTCCCTGAACAATTGATGACATTAGTAATATAATGCGACACAAGATTGCTAACCAATGCACAATAGCAAAGTGTCCGAGCATTTAACTTTTGAGACTTTAGCAAAAAATTTCACAATATTAATTTGAATTTGATTTTCAGTTTTCCTTCTACTTCCACAGATCAATATGATTTATAATAACATCAACATGGATGGTTATAGCTTGAAGTGAAATTTACAGGGCTCATTATCGAACCGGTAAAGCTTTTTAATTTTTTATTTTCAATCTTTTTGCTAAATTTACACTTGTTCTCATTTTAACCCTTTCAGTCTTGCGTTCCTGAATAATTTTAACCCTTCTTCCTGAGCACCTGAGTCAAAAATTCACAAATAATTCGTATGTAATATTTTACGGTAGATATATATATAAAAAGTTACAAATGTTTAACCAGCGTTCAACCTGTGGCAGAGTATTACATCATCTTTCTCTACCACCGGTAAAGCGGTGGTTAGTTATCAAAAGGATTAAAAACAGATTTTTCGAATTGTTCTTCGAAATAAATTTTGTCCTTTTCTTCTCATTTTCGTTTTCGATATTTGCACAGCTTAACACTGTATGACATGAAACTAAATAAATAGATGAAAGATTGTGTTGTCCCAATTTTCCTAACGGGATGGGCCTGCTACCCAGGAAAAAAAAAATCGATATTTTTAAAATCCTAGCTTTGGCAAAGGAACAAATTTTGGTTAAAAAGAGACACAAGGTCGTGGAGAGCCATGATCGCATACGCGCTGAAAAAGATAATAAAGGAGACAAATCTTTACACCGAATCAAAGAAGTACTCACACAGATGCCCCAACATCTTAGCTCTCCTTAACACAACAAAGTCACCTCCATGAATACTTGACAAATCTCATGTAGATCTAACATAACTTAAAAACAACAAAAACACCACAGATAACATAAATAGAAGTAGATTTGCCGAACTAAAACACAAATATTAAGCCGTATAGGCAATTCTGAAAGAATTAGAATTCCTACTAGGATTTATTATTGGTGGCCACAATCTTTACCTCTTATATGCAGATGACACAGTGTTGATAACAGACAAAAAGAAAATTACGAGAACTCCTACAGAAGGTAGTGTAGGAAAGCGAGAAGAAAGGACTAATTGCATGGTTGTTAGCAAAAGGAACATCCTAATATGCAAATTACAAATTGGTGATAACAAAATCAAACAAGTACAAAAATTTGAATATCTAGGAAGTGTTTTAACATAGGACGGGAAGTGTTTTAACATAGGACGGGAAGTGTGACACTGAAATCTGAATTTGCGAAAGAAGCCCCAAAAGCTAAGCAGAGTATTAAGAAACAGAAAATATTCGTTAGAAAAAAAAAAAAAAAAAAAAAAAAAAGAGTACTGAATTGTTAGTCCTCCTGTATGTTGGACGATCTCCATACAGATGAAGAAAGTTGAAGAAACAGAAATATGGTTCTACAGAAAGATGCTAAGAATACAATGGACCCAAACATGTGTGCAACGATGAAGTTTTAGAGAAACTAGAAACAAAAAGTGGCACTTATACTTAACATCAGGAAGAGACAGTTGAAATTTCTATGGTACATAATGAGGAAACAGGGCTTAGAAATTTTGATACTCACAGTATAGATTGAAGGAAAGGGCGACAAAAGAAAACAGTCCATAGCCTACGTAGTGACATTGAGTAGATGGATGGCAAAACAATGTTTATGAGAGATAAGAAAAAGATAAAATTTATTAAGAGCTACAAAGGAGAGGAAATTGTAGAGAGCTATAATCGCTTACGTCCTGAAGGAACACGACATAAAGAAGAAGATGAATATACTGATAACTCTAAAATTTCAAATAATACAGGAGCAATAGCCATAGACAGGCAGTCTTAAAAACAGACCAGACTGTTAAGTCAAGCCTCCATATTTACAGCTGAGCAACGGATGGCGCTTGACATCATTAAAAAAATTAAACAAACAGAAATTCATCATATTCATCGGATACTCAGTCTTTTTCTGAAAGAAGGAGTGCCCAAACATCCATATTAGATAGATAGATAACTTTTTATTATTTATCACTTATAGTTATTATAATTGACGTATGCAACAGCGGCCACACTCCGGTAAACAGGTTAAACTGACGTGGCAGTCAGTCGAAACGGTTTACCACATGAAGGTAGACAATGAGTGCAAACCCTCGATAATTTCTGATCTGTCAGCAATACATGTGAATACTGATTCCTGTTGGAGTAGGCGGATGATATATATATATATATATATATATATATATATATATATATATATATATATATATATATATATATATATATATATATATATATATATATATATATACACACACGTATATACATATATGTATATACATGCATATTCACACATATATACATATATATAGATATATACATGCATATACATACATATATACATATGTATATACATATATACATATGTATATACATATATACATAAAAAACTGAAAATGAAAAAAATTCTTGTAAATATTGATTATTCATCGAAATTATATCTTATTTATAAAAGCTTTTAAAAGCTTTTCTAATTAATGTTTTAGTTTTATTGCATTTTTTATTTTACTATTTAGAGCAGATTTTCAATAACTGGCGTTTCTGTTTTGCAAAAAAAAAAAAAAAATGAAAGCAAAAAACAACTGCTTTTAACTAATATAAACATTAACTGAGACAAAATTTAATTTCTAGAAATTTCTTAAAGTTAAATAAGTGTGTGGGTTTGTGGAGGGGTAACATATGTAAAAATATTTCTAAAAACAAAAAAATTGCTAAAATAATTTAATTCATTGAGTAAGTCTAGAAAGTTTCATTAAAATTCAATGATGATTTAATTTTTGCAAGAATCTCCAAATCAATGTGTTTTTCATCACAAAAATGACGCAAAAATTTTCTATACAAATATTTGGTCGCTTGTTGATGCATGAAAAACAATTTTTAACCAAAATTTCAAACATTTCAAAAAAGATCTAAAATATAATTTAATAATTAAAAAATCATTTGGTCTTTTTTCTTTATAATAACGAAGATTTTGGCGATAAAATTTTGTTTTTATTACGTTCAAGGCCCATTTTCATCATGGCATGCTCATGTTTTTTTAGTAGAACAGTGGATATATATATATATATATATATATATATATGTGTGTGTGTGTGTGAAAAGTGTGTGTATATAAATATAAAAGCGTGAAACCCAGGGTCACAAACTCACATCTATCCAATCAAATATATCTATATATAGTTATTTTCTAAGCGTAGTTTAGATGTGGCACAAGGCCGAAAGTATGGGGTACCTGGTGAGGAACGAACTCACTTTTAGTTGTAAACTGATCTAGCGAGACAAGCTTAACTAACCATTACACCACGCCGAGGCGCCCCAAATATATATACTAACCTCCAATTAGACAACAAGATCAAAGACATTTTCGATAAACCACCAATAAATGCAATGAAACAATCACCTAACCTATCAGCTATCCTCAACTCTACCAAATATCTAAACAATAGAAACCAAACAGGAAATTACAAATGTAACAAACCTCGTTGCTTAGTTTGCAAACATTTAATAATAGCTAATATATTTTCCGTACCCAACACCAATATCAGGATACAGCCACCTAACCTCACCTGCGATAGCCATAACGTAATCTATTATTTATTCTGCAACTTATGTCCTAATAGTGGATATATTGGTGAGTCTGGAAACAATTTTAGATTTCGTTTCAATAACCATAAACAAACAATACGTCAAAACAACCCTTATTCCCCATAGCTAAACACTACAATCAATCAGGACACACATTAGAAAACTGCAAATGTTTATTAATAGATTCCGATTTTACTTCCACATTCACACGCAGAAAAAAAAGAAACATATTGGATTTTAAAATTAAATACACATAAACTAGGGTTGAATAGGGACTTAGGTGTTTTAAATCTTTATAAATATTTCAATAGTTAAGCAATTTTTTTAGATATAGTAAAAAAAATTTTTTTAAATATTTATGACAGTTAGATTTAAGTTAGGAATATCCGAACAGTGACGTTCCATATCACGTGACGTCCGCTACTTGCTAACAAACAGTAATTTTAATTTATTTGTAACAAACAGTTATTTCTGATGAAAAATTGAGGACAATTTGAAATATCAAATATATATATAAATAAATAAATACTTTCATAAAATAAAACATTATTTTTTAATTTGAAACTTTATATATATATATATATATATATATATATATATATATATATATATATATATATATATTATATATATAATGTGTGTAATTGTGTGTATAAAATTTAAAACTTCCAGCCAAACTACATAATATTGAATGCTTAATATTTTTAAAAACTGATCCTAAAAAAAAATTTTCAAAGAACCCTTCGGATTTCATAAAAATCCATATTAAAAGTTCCTACATTTCATTTTTTTTTTTAAAAAATAATTTGTATTTTCAAATACAAATTATTTTGTATTCAGTTTCAAATAACTGATGAAAGAAAAAAAAATCACCAACAATCTTGTACTTAGAACTATCACTGATCTTGGTTTACAACATCAAGCTATACCCAAACAATCACGATTCAAAACCTTTATCTGGCCTTAAATAACACTACAGTAGTTGAAGGACCTTTATACAGAAACCAAAACAAACCAAGAAGAAAGGAATACCTTGTATAAAAGTTTTTCTTCCAAGTCTGCGATGAATTTTTTTTTGTACAATGGACATCAAAGCAGATTGTCAAATATATCAATTATAATGGCTATTACAATAAAATACATTTCAGTGATAAATAATAGAAAGTAATCAATAATTAGATTAGTAATCTAAAATTATCACCAAATAGAAAACCAATTTTTAAATTATTGTTGGTGTTAAAATTTTGTCAAATGTTAAGCTAAGCAATAAAAACAAAACAAAAAAAAACAAACAAAAAAAAACGAAATAAATGTAAAGATTCGAAACGTCTTTTTAAATTCGAACATCTGATCTCTTCCTTAAAAGCATAAATAAAAATTATTAAAAGTTATTCGCACCAATAGATTATAAAAATGAATAAAACCTCTATTTAAAAAAAAAAGAAAGAAAGAATACGTACGATAAAAACGAATATAAATAGAGATATAAATGAATATCACTTCCCATTAAAAATACATCGTTTTCTTAGTGCGATGTAAAAGACGTTCGTTCACTACGCTGCATAGGTTGTTATTACTAGTACTACTATTATGAATATAATAAAAAGAATAATAATGAGAAGTAGGATAATGGCCCAATATGGTATGTATATGCTCGGGCGCCCACGAACCAGCCCCCACGTATAGGTAAATACGAACTAACTATAATACCGACACAACAAAAAATATTGCTATTTGTGATGACGCATCGGTCGTCATGCTGGTCAACAAGGACTGCGATCCCCACTAACGAAACAGACTGCAATCGAAAAGTCTGCAACTGAAACAAACTCTACCCAATGAGAACTAGAGGCAAACCGTGCCGAGGACAGTCCTCAAAGAAGTCCTCTATATTCATTAAAAGAAAATCTCACAAAAAGAACAATAAATAAATGGTCTAGAGAAGAGTATATTGAAGTAATCATAGCATTTTACACCGCTACGATAAATGCGACAACGACAACAAGGACCTAAGCCGCCTATAATACTCGGTGAGAATAATACCCCTCAAGCAGACTAAACATCGATGCCAACAAACTAGCCAATGTCAGGCGTGACATCACTATGAAAAAAGGAATACTTGACATAGAACCTGAAAGCATCCTTGAAAACATCAAAAAATAAATTAAACATTAACATCGAGGGGTTAAATGCCAACAACCCAGAGGAGACACATTCAGAGGAACAAATAGAAACTAGTTGTAGTAATTCCTCTAAGGTACACAAGCAAATAGAGGAAAATAATGACGAATATAAGAGAGAAACAGAGTTGACAAAAACCTCCGATATACATGGGAAAATGTAAAGGAAATGTCTTTCGAGGAAAGGCCGACAATTCCAAAAGTAAAAAAGAACCATCAAGTAAAGGACGCCATCAACCAATTAGAAAAGTAAGGGACGAAACGGAAAGACCGATGAACCTGACAGAAATTAATCATCTTATATATGTGGCCTCGATCGTAACGATCGCAGAATAGGTGAAAAAGTAAAAACAACCTAAACGAAAAAGAAAAATGCCAGTGTGGAAAGAAAAAATAGAAACCGAAATAAATAAACTGCGAGGACAATTGTCACTTTTAAGTGAAGTAGATAAGGACTCCAAAATGAAAGAAAGTAAAAGGAGACAACTGAAACGAGGCCTTGACATAAAGAATAAGACTATGGTACCAAATGTTAAAGAGAAACTGAAACAACAAGCGAAGACACAGAGGAAAAAAAAGAAACAGATTTATCTGGCAAACGAAGATGCCAAGAAAGTATATTGATAACTGGGAAAAATAAAATAGAGATAAATGACCCACCTAATATTCAGAAAATCGAGGAGTTCTGGTGTAAGATGTGGAAAACTGCAAAATGCACAATGAAAGAGCTACATGGCTCAAGCAACAACAGGACCAACACACATATAGAGTGCCAAAAATGGACGGATATCAATATTACTGAAACAACCGCTACTATCTTCAAAACCAAAAACTGGAGAGCACCAGGAATAGACCGAAAAGCCAATTTTTGGATAAAAAAAAAATAAAATAAAATAAAAAAAAAACAAACAAAAAAACAAACTATCTAGCATCCACCAAGATCTCGCATGAGCATAAAATGATATGAACATAAACTCGGAAAAAATCCCCAAATGACTCAGCTGGAGAGTAACATCCCTACTCCCAAAAACAGAATAGACGCAGAACCCGAAGAACTATAGGCCCATCACCTGCCTACCAACAATGTACAAGATCATCTATTATAACCGAGAAGTCATACAAC